AGCTCTCTGAAAAAATTTTCCCTCATTATGTGTTTTTTTTTTTTTTTTTTTTTTTTTTTTTTTTTTTTTTTAGGTTGCTAGACTGTGTGTAAGGTTCCTGGGGTAGGGGGAGAGAAAGAGAAAGAGAGAGAGAGAAAGAAAGCCTCCCACACCATGGGGCATGGTCACGCCACAGTGTCCTCTCCTCTGTCTTTCTTTCAGGATTTTGGATGGGCACATCATACACTGCCCAGCCTGTTTTTCAAACCATTGGGTCTAGGACTTTAACCACATGGTTGGCCATGTGGGATCCAGCCACTGTATCTACCAAGCCACAGGCTGGCCCAAGGGACTGTTAGTGTGTTAAAGATGATATACGCGCTTTTCTGGATGTGGACAGTACAAATGTAACTGTCTTTCAGGTCGAAGTCGTCTTTGCCTCTTTCGTATTCGTCACTGGTATGTAATACATGTGCTGCACCTCAGTGCAGACAGTGCGGTGTACTCGTGTTGTGGGAATATGCTGCTTTCTTCTCTGGTCCTTTGGTGCATGGTAGGATTGAATGAGGCAAAGAGGCGAGATATGCTGAAAGGGCCCCATGAGTGTTGGTCCCACTACTCTCCTTTTAACGGGCATAGAACAGCATTCTTCGAGGTTGAGGTCGTGTGGAAAACTCTTTACAGAGACTTTATTTAGTAGTAGCGGCAGGTAATTCTATGGATTAATGGCACCAAAACAATGGTAATTCTCTCTGTACAAGCAGAAAAAAAAATATGAGCAAATTTGTGTATTCCAGGTGCGAAATTAGGGATGACAAAATGGATAATGACTATTTTGGTCCTTTAGAACTGCACCTCTGTCATTCTGAAGAATCAGATAAGAGTTTGCTAGATTGACAGAATAACCCTGATTTGTCATAGGTATATACACTGTTTTGTGACTTGCAGTGAGATTTTTAAAAATCGGTACTTTAGTATGCAAATGAATATTAATGCCAGCTTACGACTCTTCCTATAATAGCTCTTAGGTGGGCTTTGAGATTTCTTTCCAAACCCCATTTACTGTATTTGGCAATTCCTATTTGCTAGTACAGAAAACAGTACTAACTTCTGTAACTGTACGTATGTATAAACAGTGCCATGAAGTGGATTTTTTTTGGAGAGGTTTTTGCTATAGGGCGTGTGCGCTCGCCAGACAGACAGAGAGAGACAGAGAGACAGAAAGCAAGAAATCACCCCCCGGGGGGATGGTCACGCCGCAATCCCTTCTCCTCCATTCTCCTCCTAGGATCTTGGGCACACACGCACATGCGCCCGGCATGAGTCTTAAGCCACCGGGTCTGGGACACGAACCGTGGTAGACTACGTGGGAGTCCAGCGACACAGCCATTACACTAACTGCTGGTTCCCATGAAGTGGATTTTTCATGTTTGCCTTTTTATGATAAATTTATGCAGTGATATTATAGTGAGAAAAATGAACGTGAATTATTTTATAGGTGATAAGATGACTTGATTGTGAACTATAAAATCTTTATATGTATCATTTTTCATTTTTTTTTTTTTTTAAGGACTTAAAGCCCAGCAACATAGTAGTAAAGTCAGACTGCACTTTGAAGATCCTTGACTTCGGGCTGGCCAGGACAGCGGGGACCAGCTTCATGATGACGCCTTACGTAGTGACTCGCTACTACCGAGCGCCCGAGGTCATCCTCGGCATGGGCTACAAGGAGAACGGTCAGCACACGCTATTCTATTTGAAATGCCCTCTGGCAGAGCGTTTTTGGTTC